CGTGGCTCAGCGTGCCTGAACTGTGCAAACGGTATGGCTCATGCCAACCCCTGCTCTCCTTCTGGGAGTCTGGAATGTCGGCACGGCCAGGCAGAGGGTGCCACGTGACCAGCCCTCAGTAAAAGCCCTGGGTGCTGAGTCTCTAGTGTGCGACGCTGGTGGACATTCCCCATGTGTGTCACAGCCTGTTCTTGGGGTTAAGCATGTCCCGCGTGACTCCACTGGGAGGGACTCTGGGACGCTCATGCCTGGTTTCCTCTCAACTTCACTCCCTTCGTCTTCTCCCTTTGCTGGTTTTGCTGTATCCTTTCACATAACAAATCTTAGCTGTATGATTCTATGCTGAGTCCTGTGGGATCCCTCAGCAGGTGTGGAATTGGGGGGCGGTCTTTTGGACCCCCACACGCAGAGAAGAACAGCAATATTTCGTAACTAGAGTGACGATTACATGAGTGAATATGTACAAAGGCTCAGTTCGTATGAGCTATGTGTAGAAAGGAGTTTGTAATAAATGCCTGTCTACCTTTTAGGTTGTGGTAAAAATTGAGATAATACATGTAAAAACATTTTGTAAAGAGTAAAGAATTACACAAATAAAAAGTGGTGTTATAAATTGTAAGCGTTTCTGATTATATATTATTACTAATAAATGATATCTGCTTACTGAATACAGACATAGCCAAATTCCAAACACACACTAGGGTATCAACTGGATACAAGAAACGCTTGGCATTCCCTCCCCCTGCAATTTGTGGAGTGAGGAGATCTTTAAAACATGAATTCTTGATAATATGTTACTACTTCCTATTATCACCTGCTAGGAGTTCTACACATTACCTGACAACTCCTAAATGTAATTTGGGGAGAGAAAAATAATGAGGGGAAAACAATTTATTTAGGGACTGATAAAAACAGACAGCAAATGACCTATGGTGAAGATCAATACTATTTGACTTTTTTTCGAGACACAGTCTTGCTCTGTTATCCAGCAAGAGTACAGTGGCGTCATCATAGCACACAGCAACCTCAAACTCCTGGGCTCAAATAATCCTCCCACCTTGGCCTCCCAGAGTGCTAGGATTACAGGTGTGAGCCACCTCACCCGGCCTTGTATTTGACTTTTTAAAAAACCCATTTTTACCCTAGAACTAAAATATGAGATTATACTATACTGCTTAACAAAATACCGGTAGCTTAAAAAGCTCTTCAGGGAAACTCTATCTGTACAGCTGCAGCGGATGGAGGAGGAAGCCTTCTGTCTCTGAGGCCTCGCTGTGCTTCTGCTCACGGAGCATGGCGGGAGTGGAGGTCACAACACAGGGAGCACTGCACAGAAGACGCTGGATGCCCAGAATGCACGGCGACAGCTGGCCTTGAGCCCCGAAAAGAAGTTTCACCTCACGCTTGTCTTACTTTTCTAGTATGGCTTTCTCCACTCCCTTGAACTTTTTCAGTTCGACAATTAGTTCCCAGTATTTGAGGTACAGCCACATGAGTTTCCCGTTTTGGCGTCTGTTGGTATTCCAGACATCACCACAATACGTATCATGCTTAAATATGTCAGTCAGACCAGCTACCATCTCTAGGTCAGCAGCAACTGGGTCCGTGGATGCTCGCACCAGTAGGTTCTTCTCTAACTCCAGTCGCCTGTGGCGAGGGAGAAACAGACTGCAGTAGATGCCCTGCCTTTCTCTGAGAGCGTCTTCAAACTCTTTCAGCAGAAGCTTGGCTCTCCTCTGCCAGTCGTCCTCCTTCTCCAGGCAGCTCAGATACGCAGTCCTCAAAGGCTGCAGCTGCCTTCTCTCTTGCATCACCTGGGCCCGTTCCTGTTCCAGAAGCTTCTTTTCTTCTACCAACTTGCGCCCCTGAGAGATAAGGGCTTCTCGATAACTGGTCGTTCTGTTTTGTTCCTTTTCAAGTTCCAAAGACAACTGAGCAATAGCACGCCGATTTTCTGAGATCATAGCATGGTACTTGGCTTCAAGATCCTGCTGGAAAGCAGTGGTTCTCCGACGGTATGCTTCTCTCTCTTTTTCTATTTCTTTCTTGGACTCCCTAGACCAAATCCAACCTGACGTGAATAAATTGGGGGAGAAAAATACACAAAATGAAAAGTTACAGCTGAAGCTCTAGAATCTTCACTTAAAGAAAACAAAAAGCAAGCCAGGTGCGGTGGCTCACGCCTGTAATCCCAACAGTTTGGGAGGCCAAACTGGGAGGACTGCTTGAGGCCCGGAGTTTGAGACCAGCCTTGCAACATAGTGAGACAGACTCTCTACAAAAAATAAAAAAATTAGCTGAGTGTAGTGGCGCACACCTGCAGTCCCAGCTACTTGGGAGGCTGAGGCAGGAGGATCAGTGGAACTCAGGAGTTTGAGGTTACAGTGAGCTATGATGACATAACTGCACTCTAGCCTGGGTGACAGAATGAGACCATGTCTCTAAAAAAGAAAAAAAGAAAACATAAAGCAGCTAAGGATAGCATTTCAATAAAGCTTAAGACTTCCGAGGTCCCAAGAAGACAACATTGGGTATGAAGGATGAGTCTGGTTTTATGCTTGTGGAACTGAGGTGGCGACGGCACATCCAATGGAAATGGACGTGCTACAGCCATCCACGGATATATAGAAAACATGTAATATAGAAATGGATATACAGAAAACATACAATAGGCAAAACGCCTATTTAAAAATCAGATAAGGGCTGGGTGCCCAAAAGACAAGCAAGGCAATTCTTCTAATATTCCATTGTGGGGAGAATCCACCGCTGCTTTTTTCCTCTGAAACCTAGTACCATTTGCCTACTCCGGCCGCAGTGCCC